CCCCCCTTGGGAATGGCTTAAAGACACTTCCGTCTGCAGCACCGCCCTGGGTTATTTTTTTATTTTTTTAATTTTTTTTTGTTTGTTTTGTTTTAACGAGAATATCACCGCACTTGAAACAGTGAGGTCATATATTAAGCATCGAAGAATAGAGGTGTTATAAGAGAGTAACAAAACAAAAAAGGAAGAGAGGTAGTTTTAGTTTTAGTATACTTTGTAGGCTAGGCAATTGAGGCAGCGTGGTGAAACCAGGCGCTCGTCAAAATAATGAAAATGAAGAATGAATTTTCCCGCAGGTTTTGGGAATTTTTATATTATCGAATTTTTTAGCTCAACATCTTCCATATCCATTAAAGAATACATTTCTGAGTGGAGGGTACTGGAAAACGTCAATTTAAGGTAAACAACGTGTAAATTTCCTCTTTCCACGGACTCTCAAGCTAAGGAAATAACTAAACTTTGGCAGGCATTTTCTCGCAAATTATACCTTAGAGACAAGGCGACCCCCATTTATTTCAATCGGAAAAATCTCGATTTGTATTCAAGATAGAAACATACAAGGTTATTTTGTCGAAACCATAACAATAGAAATAGCTTTAGTGTGATATAAATACCCTCCACAGGCCAAAAATTGACGAACGCCTGACTTCACCAAGCTTCCTCACAAAGCAGTTATTTTAGTGATCTCATGTATACAACCAAAGACCGGGGGGGGGGGGATATAAGACCCAAAAAGATAAATAAAAAAAATAATTACTAGACCTAGATATTTCTGAAAAAATATGTTTTTTTGGTCGCTGGCCTGCAGAGGTGCCTTGCAAAATAAAAAATGAGATAGGTCTAGATTTCTTTTCTTTTTCTTTAAACTCGGACAGACGAAAGTGAACAAGGCTACAGGATTTCATCATCGCCGGTAACAGGCTACCAGAGCACTGGCCAGAGATAAGCCGTCATGTCACAGAGGGTCAACAGGTCCGGTTTTCTGGGACACACGGGGCCCAGGGACACACGACAGAGACGGGAAAAGCCCAGGTCAACCAACGACTGACTCGGACATGGACGTGACGCATTTTCTTTCGGTCTCTCTTATCTCTTGTTTCTCTCTTTCTCTCTCTCTCTCTCTCTCTCT